TTAAGATATAAAGTTTTTAAAAATGTTTGAGAAAGCAAAGTTTGAACACATCCTAAACCAGGTAAGATGCGCCAAGTATATTGCAAATAATTTGTGCACACAATGCGAAAATTCTACATGACAAAAAAAATATATATATATAATACATAAAAAACACACAATATAATGTAACATAAAATAAAAAAATAATATATATATATATATATATATATATATATATATAATATATATATATAAAATCATAATGTAACAATACTAACAAAATACAATAATATGATCAAATAAAAATGTTGTATTTTGGTATTAATTTTATCTCTGTACAGCACATTGGGCAATTATGGTTGTATTAAATTGTGCTTTATAAATAAAAAAACAAACAAAAAAAACAACACTATAATAATGTAACAGTATAAACTAAAAAAAATACAATAAAACAATATAAATGCATAAAACTAAAACAACAAAATAATAAATAAAATAATATACAAAATTAAAAAAAAATATCAAAGTAAAACAAACAACAAAATAAAAGTAAAATAAAAAAAACTATAAAATGTAACAATTTTTTTTAATAAAAAATAAAATCAACAACATAAAACAAATAAATAAAAACACTATATAATATAAATTAAAATGAAAGAAGCAAAGAAACCTACTAAATGTTCTGTAGCTTGTTGCTTGACGTAGTAGGTCAGGACAATAAGCAGCTGTTGTGTTGTATCTGGTTAGGGCACTGTGTTTTGCAGTTGTAATTATAAGAACATTGTGGCTAAATCAATAAAGGAAGGTTGATCTTAAGTTCTGTCTCAACTAACCATGTCAAACAATGAGCTATAGGACAGTAGTGAAATCGTCTCACCGGTTCAAATTGCCTCTCCACTTAACTGTACGTTAAACGTAAAATGCGCTTTGATTGACTGTGATTGTGCAGTGTCATGTGACATTTTGCAGAGCTTCCCTAGAGGCAAAAGAAGGCGCTCCATTCAGAGTTCTATGTCTGAGTTGTGGATCTGATACAAGCTGATAATTAAACCCGTACTGGTTAAACCGCCTCTGCAGTGCAGAATGGGATATGACAGGGATTCAGCCTGACTGTGGGGAACAGCGGATGAGTCATCAGTGTGATTACAGCAGGCACGGCGCATGAGACAGGCTGTCTAATCTATCGCTACGAGGCCACCTCCAAAATGACCTCTGCCACCATGCACGCGGTTTACTCCGTAAACACACACATCTGCCCGCCGCAGACCACGTCAGTCAAGAATTACCCCTAAATGAAGCGGCGGGATGCGTTTATAAGAGCCATGTGTGTGGCGAGTGTGTGTCCGGCTCAGCGGTTCCCGTTTTGAGCATGTAACATGGTGAATGTGTTTGCCTCGTGCCTACTGAGTTAATAAGCAGCCTTTTCAATTAGAGCTAATTTGGGTGAAGAGCTGAATGGGGTAGCACAGCTGCAGGAGACTTCACTGTTGCCTATTCATCCACTTTCTCTCTCTCTGCTTTTATGGTCCTCTCCTTACAATGGGTCAGAGAGAAGAAATTGTGCCACTCTCCTAAAGTCTGTTGGTGCCGCCATGCTCAGCGGGGCAGGGCTCATATCATACTTTCCCCTCAGCAAGTGCCGCTCACTCCTTCCTGTCATCTCCCAATTTCCTCTTCTTCTCAGTCTCCCTCGCCTCCCACACAAAGAGTGTCTGTGGTCAGCCAAAGCAGCATCTTTATTTATTTGTTTGCACTCCAATATCCTGCAAGCCTGGTCGTGTTATCTGTATGAAGGGGCCGGCCCCGTCCCTGACAGCCTCTGTGTTTGCATAACTGATTGGACCCTAATCAAAAGTGAAGCATCAATTCCAGCCCTCTCTCTTCTTCCTCCTGAGGAGAACAGAGGGATAAATGGAGGAATGAAAGCTAAAGGATGGTATTTTAACACGCTGTTTGTTCCGACTGGGCCGAGAGGGGCGGCGACCTTGATGTTGGAATATCCTTTAGTTCTCATCAGTGCCAGCCGCGTCAAACGCCAGAAATCGAGGCGGAACAGAGATGAGGAGAGATGATTCGCCGCTTGGTAAAACAAAAGCGGTTGACGCCTAGCGCGGGGCGAGATCAAACAGAAATAAACAAAACACAAAACGACAACAAAGTCGTACTAAACAATTATCTTTGATAAGACCACCTCTGCTTGCACTCCTCTGGATCAATGCAACCTTAATCTACAGATTTACGGCAAAATGAGAAGATCTTCTCTCACAGCTTGGGGAAAGTCCGATGGATCCACAGGCTTGCAGGATAGACACTGAGCTTTGGATGTGCTTCTCGTGGATATATAGCCTCTGAAACACCCTTTTCAGTCTCATAAAATGAGAAGAACAATGTGTGTGCGAGTGCGTGTGTCCTGGTGAATGGGGAGATAACAGTGAAGGTGGCCTGATGCTGTCAGCCGTTTCTTATCTTATCTACCAGAGGATGTTAGTATGAAAATGACAATAGCAGCAACACTTGCTCAGGAGCTCTGCCATAGCACCATTGGTTGTTTATGCCTGTATGTCTTTGGGGCAAAGAAAACACTAAATCCATCCGTGATCAAAATTGTTCCCGGAGGAGGACTAGTAAGGTACATACGCTGTATATCGATCATACACACACACTGTAGCATTACAGGGCTTTATTTTTACCTGAGTGCCATTGATAAGCAATTTATGGTTCTTGTTTTCATTAAAAATCAACACAGCAACACGGTAACTTGCATACATGCACAGACTGAGAAAATGTGCACCATCCCCTGTGACCTGTTACAAATCCAGTCACCTGCACGGATTACAAGAAGTGCCTTGAAAAAAATTACCTTTTCTCTTTTCAACAGTCAATTTTTAACCTTCACTGCAACCGAGCTTATAGCAAATCCCAGGTGCTACAAGCAGTCTGGAAAAAAAGCTTTTTCACCCTATATGTTCAACACCAAGGTCATTGACAACATCTGAAATGGAAGAGTGAAGGGACCCTTTTGGAGTGGCACTGGGCAGATCATTTTACAAGAAAAGCTGGGGGATTAAATGAGCGGAGGAAAAAAAAAACACCTTTTTGCACTAGAACTGCAGTTTAAGTCAAGCGGTTTGCAGCCTATTTTCCGGTGAGTCATATGCCAGCAAGACCTTCAGCTCTATATCCAGGGTCAATATCACTAAAAATATGCATTCGATACACTCGATTGCTTTTCAGCTAGTGTTATGAGGCTTTTGGCATGGGCGGACTGGTATGTGTTTATTCGTTCAGTTATTTTTAGCGTCAGGTGGGAGTTTAGCGTTTAGATATAGGCCTACACATATATTTGTAAGGGTGACTTAGTTACGTTTGCTAGACTCAGAACTGTTGCTAACATGGCACTAGGCTAAGACTTCTCGCCGAAAAGAGTGAGCCCACAATGATGTTTTAATCCCCCTAACCAGGCTTAGTCACAGCAGCTCTTCCTCAAGTGCCTGCCAATTTACACTTCCTCATTATCCATTACTCCCCCCCCCCCCCCCCCCCCCCCGCCCGCCCGCCCCCCCACCCCCCCATTTATTTATCTTAGTCGCCACTGGAATATTCTATCTGCACTCGGCGGTTAGTTTGGGACGCCTGTACAGATTGTTTGAGGTTAATTTGTGCGCTGGCATCAAAGGAGAAGACAGCTAAAGGTTCTTAATGCAACAAACAGCCACCTTTATGCTTAACAACCAAGTCAACAGAAGAATTTCATCGCCAGTGAGGGCCTTTGAGCGACTGACAAACATGATAAATTTATGTACATAAATAAGGTTGCAACCTCTCTTGAAGATACTCTGATTGCACAGAGATGATATACAGCTACATATGTATAGCTGAGGATCAATTGTGTAAACAAAATTTCGCTTTGAAAATCGTCAAGAGCCGTGGTCTTGTGTTTATGAAGAACATTCATTTGAAGTTCCTATAATTCTATAATTATTCATGATTATTACATTAATGCAAAGCATCAAACAGCAGACACGTCAACATGGACTAGTGCTTTCCCTGCTGAAATTGACAATAAATCTGTTTTTGGGCATTTACCAGTTGCTCACATTGGAAAACCAGTGTGACAAACTAATGGGTCTAGCCACTAAATCATGTCTACCTAAAAGTAATACATAAATATTATAAAATAAATAAAAGTTCTGGCTTTCAAATGGATACTTCCTGGGGTTCTAGACAGACTCAAATCAACAGGCTGTGAGACCAGATAGACCAGCTTAAACCAGCTAACCAGACTTGCTAACCAGACTTTTTTTTTTATCAGTAGAGATGCAAAAATAAACACGTGTATCAGAAATATATAAGGTGCAATTAAAGGAGATTCACTGGGCATTAGCAGTATTAGCTACAAGGTGTCAAATTAAGTACACTCAGTAGTACCAGATAAACCACTGAGCAGAACATGATAAGAAATACTATGCACGTTTCAGATCATCAGGTTACCAAAGGCCAGTTCTGAGAAGTCGGCTATGAAATAATAGAGCTGCTTTGCCGCATCACATTTATTCCAGACAAAAAAGACCTGTCTTTGTCAGGATGGCCTAAAACCCTGCTGAGTCAAGATTTTGGCGATTTGCTGAATTGTACTGTATAGTTGAACATATGAATTATTTGTGAAAGGAGCGAAAATGAGAAGGCCATGGGCTCGTTTGTAGCTCCCACGGATTTTAAAAGCATCACGTATGGCAGTGTTATCTGTAAAGCTACAAGCATGTGGATGTGGGGCTTCAGCGGGGGGGCGAATGAGGCAATATGTGTGTCTTTGTACATCAAGATGTATACTGTTTGAGTATGTGAATGTGTATTTAAGTGTAAAGTGCCACAGTAAAGTTTTTCAGCATTGGGGTGTAGCGAGAGGCAGGGATGGGTGCGCATTGATGTTTGTGAGTTTGCCGGTCAGCAGGGAGGCCATTACCAGACAGCAGCAGGAGAGAGAAGCACCATACAGAGCTTAACAAGATGGAACTTACCAGGGAATTGGTAGCTGTAGCTTGGGGCGAAACCAGTGTATCCGCGGCCATACGTTGCTACAATGTTTGGATAACCTGTAGGGAGAGAAGAAAATCCAAGGATGTGATAAACCGCTCAGACCGCCCAGAGCTTCCCTATCACACCAATAAATCAGTATGCCATTTAAAATACACATACACACAAGCAGCAAGTGAAAACAGCTCCTCTTTCACCACATAACCGCAGCCCTCCCTGCAAGGCCGCAATGTAACAGATTAGCTGGCTTGCAAACTTCAGTTTGCAGTGATGAACAGCATAAACATCACAAGACACAATCTCGCTTCATTCCCTGGGGCTCATCCCTCTTTTTCCCCTTGCTGAGGGAACGGACATGTCTGCGGCTGTCATCTCTCTCTCCCTCCCTCCTTTTTTTTCTCACCTCTCCACTGTCATTGATCGATAACCCTTCTTTTATAGCCCGGGCTAATCGATCATGAAGGACACGACAGCGCAAGACAATGGCAGGCTGATAGTTGTGGCAGGACATCACGGATTAAAGTCCCTACGTGCCGTGCAGCCTCAGCCTCCTGCGCGCTAATACTGACAGGATGGCACGAATATGATTGAGCGATTGCAGAAGTCATTCGAAAGTGGAGCGAAACGCTGCAAAAGCATGCTAAGGCCGCAATTTGTTTTTTTTAGCCCACCTCTTGTCGTCTTTGCTGAGGCAGAACTTTTTAATGATGACGCTCGGGCGAGTGAGTTGGCTTCCCCTTGACTATTTTATTATCTGAAATACATCTTGTTTGAGAGCGAGGAGAAAACATGCCATCAGCAGCGTTTACAACACTGGAACGCATCCTGCTCGTGCTGTTAAGAAAAAGTGGGATGTGACCCAATGCACATGCTATAGTTGTCTCGCTGCCAGGATTTAGCGGCGGCCCACCGTGTGTACCTCTTTACCAGGCTAGAGCCCAAAGAGCCATTGTTCTTATTCTGTCACAATGGCTTATTACAGTGTGAGCCTAGACACTAATTATCTGGCCGGCTTTCAAACAGAAGGAAAAAACGGTTTCCAACGCAATCGAATATATCAGCCATATTGTTGCAGCGAACGCCTGAGGGAGCAGGCTGCTATAATCGCGTGAAAACAACATATATAGACTCTGTAGTGCCGTCACCTTCTTTAGGACTCTACAGAAAGTTTATTTGCCATCAGCCCAATTTCTTCCCTCCCAAACACACCTGAAAGATCTTGCTAATAGTTATTGGCTGCGCACAGAGCTAGCTTGCACCAAATGATCGCTAGTGGCTTACTCTTGGCTCTCGGCCACAAATGTGAGTTGGTGAAGAGAATGAATATACTCCACCGCAAGTTAGGCTAGACATAACACAAATCAATTCAGTTTGACATTGCAGAGGCAGACTGGTGGGAAGTAGTCTATGTGAAGCTATTGATCCTGTCAAAGTTTCTTTGGTGAGGGTCAGCGCTATAGTAGAGGCTTAAAAGAAATAACTTGCTTTTATAAAGTTTGCTGTCGTTATTGACTGCTTCTGAAAGGAGGCTTTTTGTGCCGTTTGCGGTAAATGCTATGTAAACCACAGAGTCAGTTTTAAAATCAAAGACTATTCTTGAGGAAAGTTCATCTCTGAGGGAATCAGAGCAAGGAGGAGGAATGGATAAAAGTATTAAATACACTACTGCCAAAAGTATAGAGAAAAAATATTGCAGAACCCATTTTCCTTAAAGGGACAGTTCACCAAAAAAAGAAAATTTGGTCATCATTTACTCAAATTCATGCCATTCCAAACCTCTATGGAGATATTCTGAACAATGACTCATTCAAAATGTTTAAAAAAGGATATTTTGAAGAATGTTTCAACTATTTTTGTCCCTACAAAGTCAGTCAATGTGGTCCAAAACAACACTGAAACCCACTGACAAGAACAGTATCTTCTTTTGTGTTCTGCAATACAAAGTCATAAAGGTTTGAATGACATTATGGGGAGTACATTTTTGGGTGAAACGTTGAAACTCAATGACAATTTTTCAGGATATGCCAGTCTCCATCTTTTCTGCTCCATAAAAAAAAAAAACAGAAACACTTCACCTAGCAATCTTGCCTCTGAAATAAACGCTTGTATGTTCTGCAGCAAGTTGGCCATCTTTAACTTTGCTCCTTCCAAGTGCTGTATCATATGTTTACAAAGCCTTAATATCTGAGCTCCTCCGTCTCTCTCGAGACTACAGTGGCTCTGTTTACTCTACTCTTACAGAGGAGCAAATGCCAGACGCCCATACTAAATATACATGACATGGGCTTTTCCTGTGACATTTAAAGAGATTACTTTAAATGTAGAGGGATGGGGTTCTGTTGACAGTAGGGGATTAACATACTGGTAGGGCCAACACCTATGGGAACGCAACGCAGAAGAGAGAAATCAGCAGTGCTTCCAGGCCGTGTGCAGAAAAGAGACTCAGGTGCAAATAATACATAGAAAAACAAAAAGCTCACAGGAAATAAAGCAAGCATTGACTACAATGTAATCAGTTATTAATATTTTGTTGATTCTACCTCGTTTTTGATTATAGCAGCCATTCTCCTTGACTCACTGAACTTTGTGCATGTGACATGCTTAACTTCTTTCCAGTCCTCCTCAAGTTTTCCCCAAAGTTGAGCTTCAGTTGAAGGCCTGCATGACTTATCACAATTCAATTTGACAATTTCCCAAAGGTTTTCAATGAATTTATGTTCAGGTGACTGAGGAGGTCAATTGATGACCTGAAAATGCTGAGAATAAATACTTTTATTGTGTGCACCTTTGTTGCATTTGTGGTGTGTTTGGGATCGTTATCATGATGGAAAAAAACACATTTGATCTCCAAATACATCCTCCATACGTGACTACATTGTGTTCAGCAGGATTCCCAAGTATTGGTCCATTTTCAAGGTGCCAGCAACTGTGTAGATCCTTCCAACACCTGCTGAAGACATGCATCCCCAATACCATTATGTTTCCAATGCCGTGCTTAATGGTGCTATGCATGCATTTGGCATTAAAACACTCCAGTCTCTCTCCTACGAACATACCTGACACCATCCAATGCTACTGTAGGTTGTTACATTTTGACTTGACGCCACTTATCTTACTCAATAATCCTCATGTTCTTTGGCAAATGCAAGGATTTTTTTGCAGTTGATAAAACTAATAAATGGTTTCTTTACTGGTACACAACCTCTCAATCCAACCTCACATCTGCAACTTCAAGAATATCAAGCCTATCAAGAATAATGGTCTGCTGTGAAGAGTGAACAGTCTATGCACACAAAAGCTCACAATAATGCTTTATTTGTGAGAATACCGGGAAAACAAACTTTGAACAAAACAAAATGTTGTATGCCACTTTTGGCTCAGCTAAACAAAAAACAAAATAGAAAGGTACCAATTTTTCCCAGACACATTCATCCACCTCCTCGTCAAAACTATATTTAGCTCAATTTTCATACCTAAATGGCTCTCCAACTGCGTTTAATGGCTGAGCTGAGCCTCAGTGTCGAGCTGTGGGCTCAAGAAAGGGGCACACCATGAGACCAGCACCAGAAGCACCAGACCGCCATACCTTTGACGTTCAAAAAGTGGGAACACTGCATGTCGTAGTCACGGCCCCTCGCGGGAGACTGAGCCAGACTAAGTGCAAGGAGGAGAAAGACAGGTACCTGAGCCCGGGGAGAGACTCATTAAGCCACGCCGTCACCACGGTAGACACCTTCCGTCTCCAGGCAACGCTGTAAATAAAGACTGTCACTTAATCTGGCCTAGTGCCGTTGGCCTCGCCCTCTTATTTGCGTTATTAATATGCATGCTAATGTGCCCATTTTATGGCTCAACAGTTTCGATTCACTGTAAAATCAATTATCCATCTGGTAAAGCTGCACTTTGCGCTGGCTGAGATGTGTATTAATTTTAGCAAACATACATGAGGCCCAGCACAATAAAGATAAATAGCTCGATTAGGTGTGGTAAACACCGTTGCTCAGAGCGGGGCTCTAATGAGATTTCGGCACATAAGGAATTGAGGTTCCTTAAATAATGAGCCTTGTTGATTTTTGTATGCAAATTACCAAAAGGAATGTTTCGCTGTCCTGCTTTCCAATTTCATTTAGATAAGACGGTGTTGCGATCGAGTGAGCGCGACCCCCTTTAACCGGCTCTCTGCTCCCACTGTCTCAGTCTTCCTCCCTTTCGGTTTGTTCAACACTGATCTGCTTTAAACCCTAATAAGCTCATGACACCCACTCGCGGCGTAATTTCATCAACCTCAACTCAAGTCAACTTGAGCTGACATCACGCTGTTGGCACTGTGAAGCCGAATGATATCATAGACAACTAAAATGCCTGGGGGCACCAGATGTTGGTGCAAGGTCTTGACGAGCGCTTGCATATTCCGAATAACTGATGAATTCACCCTCCTTTTAGGTCAGATTGTTGAAATCATAGGTTCATAACTCAACATTACTTACATTTTCCTCTTCATTTAGCACTATAATGCAGAGCCCTGCTCTGGTGAGGGTCGGTTAGGGATTTGGTGGAGCTGGAAGCGGATCTGGCTGAATATCAATAGCATATTTCATGCGGGCCCAGCGAGGATGCTTCATCAAGTCAAATTACGGGCAGGACGACCTCTCCTGCAGCTTCACCCATTAGCTGCCATTCGCATTCTGCACCAGGCATCAAACGATTTATTTGCTTCAGTTACTTTCAGCAGACGATCAATCTCACAGTAATTATCTCTTGTCACAGGAGCTGGTTGGGGGGGGGACTGAAGTTTGAGATGGGGGGGGGTTGGCTGATAGGTGGGTATTCTTGTCTAATTCTACAGTTCCTGTCCTCTTGACACACATCAAATCTACAGAAAAACATCAAGACAAGCTCTTGCCAGTGTCGGGATGACATCTCTGGTGTTTGACGGGTTCCAGTGCTCGTCTCTATGATAGCACGCACGTGTCGTATCCGTGAAGACTCTGAAGCGGGGCTCCCAGCAGAAATGGAGAGGAGTTTCAACTGCCATGGCAGTCGTAGAGCCGCTAGCAGAGCGTGGCGACGTTAACGCGAGCACCGTGCCAACATCGGAGCTCCGGTCCCAGTGCTCTCTTCGAGGAGCTCTTTCAATGGGCTGTTGCCTCTCCCTGTCTGCCTGTTCCAACATTATGAGTTGCCATTTTGCTCTCTGAGTTTACAGTGATGCACTTGTTCCACACCATCAAGCTCAGCATCTATGCTTAAAGGCTGAACAGACATATTTACAAGTATCATTCTGAAGTGACCATTTGTCTCTGAGGTCAGCATGAGACAACATTTGCTCTAAAATCACACCCAGTGGATAACTAGATCTAGATTCACATGAACACAGAATTTCCTAACAGCAGAGCTAATTAATAAATGTATTTTCACCAATCACATTTACATACATACGTATATATATATATATATATATATATATATATATATATATATATATATATATATATATATATATATATATATATATATATATATATATATATATATATATATATATATAAATAATGTATAATAATGTAGAACCAATTCAGGCATGCACAAAAAGGAGTCCTTTAAAAAACAGTTATTTAAAAACGAATAGTAATTTAATATATAATATTCATATACATTTATATTTAAATGAATATTATATGTTAGCACAGCTCTAACGATTTTATCAGTAAAATGGTAAACTTAAAAGCTACATGAATTTCTCTCTAGCAAGGTAATAACGGCCCTGTTGTTCTTCTTCTCTATTAGTAGAGACGCTGCTGCCGAACACTGCTGAGATACACACAAACGCTTAGTCAATCTCTCTCTCTCTCTCTTTCTCTCTCTCTCTGTCTCTCTATAACTGCATTAATAACTGTATTATTACTACTACTGGTATCAGTGGCTCAAGTCTCCCTTTACTAGCTCTAAAATGACATTTTGGAATGTCAAAAGGTTTGGGATGAGATGCGTAAGAAATTCAACGGCCAGACGTCAGCTATTCCTTACACACACATACACATATAAATATAAGTATAATATAAATTTTAATTTTTTAGTTTTGATACTATTTTAGAACAACTTTTTGTGTTATGTAGTTTGAGTTGGTCATTTTATCCTAAGTTTATAAAAAAGCATTTTGAACTTGTTGATGAATAAATAGTTTTCTGCATTTACTTTACACAAAAATTCATGAGTATACATGGTTAGAGAAACAAGAACCAATTATAAGGTATTGTAAAAGTCAACATGAAATAAAAGTTGACCCCCTATTTACTTTTGTAATAGACGTTCCTGGTTGTTTTTTTGCATGATTCATTAGTGAGTATTATTCAAAGAATAAAAAGTTTGTCTTTTTATGAAAATGTAGTAACTTCTTATCCTCTAGTATCCTCTTATCCTCCAATCAAATTCCGATGGATTAAAAAAAAAAAATAATTCTTTCTGGCGGCTTATCCACTTTCTCCTAGGAACACATCAAATTAAAGGAGTAAAATGGGCTAAATGCAGTTTCATGCTGATTTCAAATCAGCATCCCAGTTAATAATCAGATTACAGCAGTGATTGACAGTGTTAATGTATGAATAATTGTAAGCAGGAAATTGAGATGACACTTACTCAGCATGCCCATTCCCAGCATAAAGGCGTCCATGGTGTAGGGCAGACCTCTAGCTCTCCCCCGCGTCCCTGGAGGAAACATCACTTCCTTCGGCTGGGCCTTCTTACATTCTACCTGTGGATGGAGCACAAAAGATGTTGTCTCAGTGTTCTCGCTACTAATAAGACCATTTATTGTATCAAGGAACGGTCCAACTCTTACAAATGTTCAGCCCACAGGACATCAGAACAATGTTGTTCATATTTGGTTTGTGTCACCTTGCAGACAAACAATGAGAGCTCTCATAAGGATAATACATCACTTGTTAGAAAAATGAACGGGAATAAAACAAACACACTGTGAAATCACAGTGTTTATGCATCTCAGTCGGTAATGTACTGGCTTAAATGTCGCTGTGGTTTTTTGAGAGAGCGTTTTTTGATGTTTGTGTGTTTGCGAAAGCATGCTGTGTTCTGTCTTCGGGCAAAAAAAAGAAAAAAAAAAAAGATGAGTTTTCTATGTAAAAAAAAAAACTTTTATTTTTTTTATTTCCTCATCATTCCCCTAGCGTCTTGCCACTCCAATCTGGTCCTCATCATTGAACAGTTTCTACCCGGGGCACTTCCCCTGATCACCGCCCTGCACCCCCAACCAGCTCCCTGACGCCTTCTACTGATCATTTTCCTGCTGTGCTGACTGACATTTCGCACTCCTCCACAATGCACGGTTAAGAGTCTGCTCATGACAGAACACACAGAGTGGGCGTCAAGAGTGACAGACCAACTGCAAACACCAGCATCAAAATTAAGTACAGCTCCGGAATGAAGGATCCGTGGGTTTGTGGTAGTGACACGGTAAGAAATACCAACCCTAACATTGTGCACGGCATCGTGCACAAGATGTGTCAACAAAACCTCAACCACCTGAGAGATGCAACCGTGCTTTCTTTAAGCCCAAGGAAAGCACAGATGACCGGGAGGGTATGTAGTGTTTGACAGACTGATTACTGGTGCATGTATACACACTCCACCATGCACACAGCGCCTAGGGTAAGTATAGTGGTAAATGCACACGAAAGGCTTATTGAAATTGACTATGAGCACTATGAGGGGCTCTGGTAGGGCAGAGTAGACAATATTCCCTGACCGTGTCAACCTCTATTTGTCCATTTATATTACAGCTGCTTCCCTGCTCTTCTCTGGAGCTTCAGTTCAAGTGACTAAAAGCAAACGTTCATGATTTAAGTATGAGATTTAAACTGCGTGTCTATGATTGTCAGGGAAGAGAATGACACAAGGGTTTTCAAACTGCCGACCCCAAAGGGACTGCATATACTTTCTTAAAGGAGAACTCCGGCGCAAAATGAACCTTTAGTCTAATAAAACATTGGTACCTAGTCAAGCGTTCTCTGAGATTTGTTTTCATGATAATCGAATGTAAAGAGTTTTATCTCTAAAAACTGTTTAGCGTATAACGCTAGTAATGGGGGCATTTAATAAGTAAAAAGAAATAGCTAGTTAAATACCACTAACAAGGCTCAAAATAGCCCCACACGAACACAGTAACATAATGAGGGTCCCTACATGCAAAACGAAGCATTGAGAACTTTGTAAGTGTACAGACCGTTTAATAAGAAGATATTTTATGAAGACAGTCCACTTCGTGTACACAGACAGGAGCCATCTTTGGAAAAAAATCTCGACTAATCAAACCACGAACGCCATTCATACAGTTCAGCTCACTTAGCACGTCGTTCGTGGTTTGATTAGTCGAGACTGTTTTCCAAAGATGGCTCCTGTCTGTGTACACGAAGTGGACTGTCTTCATAAAATATCTTCTTATTAAACGGTCTGTACACTTACAAAGTTCTCAATGCTTCGTTTTGCATGTAGGGACCCTGAAAATGTTGAAATTAGTTGAAGTACTAAAACTACTAAAAATAAAAACTGAAATAAACAAAAGTACTAAAAATTACAAAAGCACAAAAAAAAATATTGAAAATAAAATTACAATTGAAAATAAAAAATAAAAAGCTAATAAAAGCCAATTTAAATATTAATATTTACTATAATCTTATGTAAATAATACTGAAACTACACGGTTTCTCTCAGAGTATAAATGGATCTGTAAGCATGTAAATATATAGCAGCCTTTATACTTTTAAGGAGGTCCCCTTGAAATCAAATTTGGGGCTCCTTGACATCAAAAAGTACAATGTATGACAGTACATTGACCTTGACGTTAACTGCGAGGGAAAATAACCTAGAATTTCATCACCGAAAGATAAAGGAAATCCAGATATCTGTTAAAGATAATGCTTCCATTCTTTCAAATGACCTTACATGTCAACAAAAGCGCTAAAAGGAAGCTGTATTTTCACGCTTTGAGCGGGCTAACAAACTTCAGACACTGCAACGCAATGTCTCTTCTCAAAAAAATGAACACATAAAAACCAACAAGCACTGGTAATCAGTATTCAAGTCCTCAGGACTTCTCCAAATACAACATGCCTTCATTAGGCACTGGCACTAAAGAGAGAGCGAGTGTGTGTGAGTGTGATGCGTGTAATTATGTCAGTGTGTGGTTTCAGTGATGAGGCCTGCAATCTCTGTGTGTTGCTAATAGGCGAGGAAAGCCTGGCTTCCGATCTGACTGTCATCAATGGGCATTTAAGAGCCATGACTACGGCTCCACATTATTACTTAACTAATTACCCTCGTCAGTCGAGGTAGGCCAATGATGAGCTCCCTTCCCTCGTTAATGAAACTACGAAGGCCCGTGGCTAATGACCTGAGAGCACGGGGTAGCTACGTTATCCCTCCTGCACAGAGGAGGAAAAGGCCAGAGGAGGAAAGAACTGTTGATAGATGGACGTCTGCACTTTAGGACCAAATCGGAGCGTTTGACTTTGAAACAAAGGCCAAAAGTGGAACTCGCTACATAATGCAGTCTTATTTGTGTGTGATATTTAGACTTAATGAACTTCTAAGTATAACTAAATAAAAAAATGTGACAGGAAATCAACAAGGTCAAAGTTGTGGCGTAGTGGTGCTAATGTTGGGGGAAAAGGTGTTTGAATCTGCAATTTCCTGTGCCTAGTAGTAGTAGTAAAATCTTTATTTGTCCCTTTACAGGGCAATTTAAGTAGCTTCAACCTCACAAACATACAAATTTTTTATAAAACAGAAAACAGCAAAACATCACAAAACCTTACGAAAAATCATCACAAACCCCAGGCATTTATAATAATTCTTCATATAGCTATAGTGCCTATACCTAGGAATAGTGCCTATTCCTTCTTTCAACGCTCTTCTCGATAAAAAGTTAAATAAATAAAACATTAAGATAAATTTTATATTAATTTATTAAAAATATATTTAAAAGGCCATACAATATAAACTTATTCACCTTCATTAATGAAAGAATTATGATATAACACTTAACAGATCATCTGCAAAAGTTTAATAAAAGTTTCAAAAGTTTTTTTTATGTACATATATAAATGTACACAAACTTCTGATTTGCATTATAAAACAACTTCAGCATTAGAACATATAAGGCTTCACACTGTATATCTTCTAGTGGAAGGATGACACTGAAATGTGCTTAATAAAATATTTGTGTTCTTAGTATTTTGTATTATATAGGCCTAGTACTCTTTTCATAACAGCAATAAGACACTTCTGGACATGTTATATCGTGAATATTGCAGGTTTCAGGCATAAAATAATAATAACACTTGTTTTTCCTAATTATATCATGTTTCGAATTATTTATATAATGACTTATTAATGAAGGCTTAGTGTTACTGAACATTTTATTTGTTCATTTAGTCAGCCACCTGTCTAATGACCGGACTGCCACTCGGACCCCAACAGAGACTTCAAGGTGTTTGTGTGTGTGTGTGTGTGTGTGTGTGTGTGTGTGTGAAAGCAATCAAAACCCCATAACATCTCTCATCTACCGTTCACCCCAGAGAGCAGGTTAAGTGGAAGTCCAGGGTGGAAAGGATGACAGCAGAGATGAGAACAGGGTGCGTCCACTCGCCTCGCTAATTGTCGGGAAATCATGAGCGGGAACACCGTACCGGTGGGCTGGAGCAAATGTGGCCATTAGTGTCCATGTCCCTGGCAGAGCCAGTGTGAGCGGGCGAGAGGTGCGAGACAAGATCGATCAGCTCCAGAGAACACACACGCGGCTTATTAGCTGGCTGGTTAGGGATAGATTAGATCCAATCTGCTAATCTGCTGCCCTGACCTTGTGACAAGAAATGTCACTCACATTAAAACTTCAGCCACCTGTTTTGACTTTGAAAAGGGGGTTGTTTCACAAAGGTTCATTTCTCAGAGACCACAGGCTGCATATAAGGCCATCTTTCATGACTGTAGATCAAAAGCATTGCACGCACATTTTGGCTTTTTGAGCAAAGCCAAATACATCTTTCAAAACAAAAATATACTTGCATTACTGATTGTACTCTTATAGGGGGAAAAGTGTTAGGGTTGTTAAAAATTTACGAAGAAGCATTTTTATTAAAGTTATTATACATTACATAATATACAAAAAAAATACTAAGTTGTTTTAAAAAGTTTTAATTAAACAGTGTTTAAAATAAAAATGATATATAACAAAAAATAAACGTAAAAAAAATTGTATTTGCATCATTGATTGAATTCTTGTGGGGAAAAAATGATTTGTGTTTTGTAAAAAAAGAGCAAAAAAAAGAAGCAGATTTAAAAAAAAAATGCATGGGTTTCTTATCAATAGAAAAAAAATCATGATGTTCCAGATTAACTCTTGAAAATTCACTTCCTCTGATATTTAAATGAATCAGAAATATCATAACCATATTCCAATAATAGACTAGCATGTGTGGGAAACAAAGAGAATCAATAACCTGAAAAATCACTTGGAAAAATCCATTGTGAAAAGAAAACCTCAAGAGTAATTGCAAAACTAGACAGTTAAATTTTATTCCTTAAAGCAGATTTGCTTCTTTCAGCTAGAGTGAGAGAAAAAAGCATTCTCCTCTGACAAGGAGGATAAAAAAGGATGAATCAGAAAGCTGATTCATTCACTCTAACTGCAAAACACCGGGCCACCCGCCTCACTCCCGAGAGTTCGGGATCACATAA